CACGTTCAGCACGTCAGACAAGTGCTTCAGAGGCAGTTAGAGAATGGGCTTTATGTCAAGGCGGAGAAATGCGTTTCTCATGCTCAGTCTGTCCCCTTTTTAGGATACATCGTGTCATCTGAGGGGGTGCACATTGACCCCGACAAGATTCAGGCAGTAGTGGATTGGCCAACTCCAGATTCCCGCAAGCCCCTGCAAAGGTTTCTGGGTTTTGCCCATTTTTACCGGCATTTTATTCGCAACTATAGCCAACTAGCTGCGCCTCTGACCTCCACCATGACGACTTTCAGGTGGTCTAGTGCAGCTGAAACTGCATTTACTAAACTCAAGGACTGCTTTGTTTCAGCCCCCATTCTTGTCGCCCCTGATCCCTCTCTTCAGTTCTCAGTTTGTGGTGGAGATCGACGCGTCAGAGGTGGGGGTAGGTGTGGTTGTCTCCCAGCACTCCTCCGCGGCAACAAGGTACATCCGTGCGCTTATTTTTCTCATCGTATGTCACCTGCCGAACACAATTACGACATTGGTAAACGAGAATTGTTGGCAGTCAAGTTAGCCTTGGAGGAGTGGCATCATTGGTTGGAGGGCTCATGGGTACCTTTCATTGTTTGGTCCGACCACAAGAACCTTGAATACATCATGTCCGCTAAACGACTTAACTCTAGACAGGCTCCTAACTCAGGCACTTTTTTTTTGGTCAATTAGATTTTTCCATCTCTTACTGTCAAGGTTCCAAAAGCATCAAGTCTGACGCATTGTCCCTAATTTTTGGCTAATCAGAACGCCCGGTTTCTCCCGAGTCCATCGTTCTACAGAGATGTGTGGTTTCAATGCTAACTTGGGAGATCGAATCGAAGGTCCGCATGGCCTTACATGGAGTAGTGCCTCCGCCCGGATGCCAACCGGGTCGGTTATTTGTGCCAGAGAGATTACGGTCCAACATTATTCGATGGGGTCATTGTTCCAAGGTGGCTTGTCATCCAGGAGTAAATCGTACTATTTTTCTCATTAACCCTCTGGGGTCGGCGGTCTCGCCGGCGATACCAGCTCACTTTTTTTCTTATAAGTGCAAAAGAGACTCAACATACTCTGCTGATTTTGATCTTACATATAAGTGTTATACATCATTCGATCCTGTTAAGTGTCTATTTTTTTTGTGTATACACAATAAAAACAAAGTGTTCTGCTTTTTGTCAAATAAAGAAAAATAAACATAATGCGCGTTCTGCCTTCTCTCTGTCAGTGAAGTCCATTCTGAAGCGCCTCCGAAAACTGAACTGTAACTAAGTAAATACTTGTCACAGAGACACGAGAGATTTCTCTTTATGAAGCTAAAATTCTCTTCTTTTAAATGAATTAATTTATATAAAAAACTAATTTTCTCATTTTATGTAATCTGTACGAAAAGAGAGAGATGATAGTCATTCTCGTCTCAGGTCATTAAAGTTAATTTGACCACACCCACGGAGCGCGCGGTCTATTCAAACACAAATGCTCTGAGGCGACCCACGCCCACACATCAGCTGGATAACCCACCGAAAGAGACTCATATTTACGACGCTGTGAGGAATAATACTACCTTAATAATAATCCTGGAAAAAATTACCTCAGAAGTGCAGGTAGTTTCATTTTGAGGAGCAACGGATCCAGCTGAGGAATAGGTACATTCTTTATTCTCAAGTGCTTTGTGCTAATCGCGATATGAAATAGTGTCTGTAAACAAAAAGACTGTTTGAATATGAATTGCGTTTTTGTATGTGAATGAATGAACAGCTTTTACCTAACTATATTCCAATACTGAGATGAGTAAAAATCGACTGAAATATGCTGAAATAAAATATTTTTGTATAAGCAACGTATTAAACTGCAAATTAACATTTATATGCCCTAATCATAAAAACGATATGTTACATATGAAAGACAAGATGACGTTTTTACTGTAAAATACTGCCACATCAAATAAGCTTGTTTGCTAAGATGTTATTATAGTGTTTGTTCGATTGTAGGCTATATTCAAACTCCGATAATAAACCTTTATTCTCATTTGCAATTGGATCTTGTGTTTCGTGACCTGACATAAAATCTATAATAATAATGTAATAAAGTACATTGTATGTATTAACTGTAGTTAATACATTAATAGACTATATAAAAATAGTGAGCTCTTCATTCATTGTCACTGTAATTAACACACACACACACACACACACACACACACACACACACTAATCTACAGCAGGAGAGACTCCAGTAGACCGAGGATCGGCAGTCCTGACAGAAGTAATGTGCGCGCGTGCACACACACACACACACACACACACACACACACACACACACACACACACACACACACACACACACACACACTCATCTGCAGCAGGAGAGACTCCAGTAGACGGGGGATTGTGACAGAAGGAACACACACACACACACACACACACTAATCTACAGCAGGAGAGACTCCAGTAGACCGAGGATCGGCAGTCCTGACAGAAGTAATGTGCGCGCGTGCACACACACACACACACACACACACACACACTCATCTGCAGCAGGAGAGACTCCAGTAGACGGAGGATCGTGACAGAAGGAACGCAGAGGTCAGTGACTGTAACTTGATTTCTGCTGCTTTTACTCTCTGACGGTCTGTTGATGCTTCTGTTGTCATAGACAAAGAAATGAAAAACCTTATAATACACAGCTAAATTTACAAGGTTTTATTAATTTTGGATTGCATGACACACTGAAGTCATGAATGATGGTTCATGACTGTAATAACAGAATAAAAATACAACACAACATTTATCTGCATAATCCACTGAATGCTCTGTAATACACCCTATAAAGTCAGGGCCAAATGTGTGTACACTTAGAGGAATGTTCATAAGTCTGGTGGATGTGGATTGCTCTTTCTGTGTTGTGGATGTTTGTAGAGCAGCCGTACGCCTCTGCGTTCATCTTACGCCTCAAATACTCAAATATATATAAAGTGAAATGTTTGCACTACTTGTCTATGTATGTATCAGATGCATGCAAGCCTTTATGCTGAAGGACAAACTCACTTCATCACAAGATCCTCAGAAAACAGAATGAAAGTGACTATTAGTTATTGTGTGAGTTTAAAAACAAACCTTGAACCGGCTTGAGACGCAACTTTATCCGACTGGGTTTCTTCCAGCGAGACCTTGCAGATTTCTCATCTAGCTCTCAAACACTGTTACTGTGAGTAACTTTTTCCATCCTGGTTTTGAGTCTGCTAGCGCTCGAATAAGCTTTACATGCCTTACATTTTCATGTTCAGATGAAGATGCTTTATGGCTATACATGTAGAGTACAGTAGTTCACTCCTGACAAATCTGCAAATGTTTATGCAGGATTACTAGTATTGTTGAATTTAACAAAAAGTGACATGCAAAACCTCTGAATGTGTTTTTTTGATGTTGTTGGTAGAATAACAGTTCATTTTCCATATTCTCCTGGTGTTTTTTATTTTATTCATATTCAACAAATGCAAACAATACAAGTCTGAAAATTGTCAGTGTTTTGTTCATTTTTGTGAATAATTGGGATCATGGTTATTAATATCCAGCTGCATGCACACAAGCCCAAACATCCTTTATGCTTCAACAATGTGGATTTATTCTCAAGTGTTTCTTTAATTCAGCAGCGATTGAGTTCCAGAGCATCTCAAATGATTTATTGTTTGACTTTTCCATCCCTACATGGCAGAGCAGAGAACTACTAGAAGAAAATCTGACCTAACTTATTTTCTTTGACTCGGGATGGCAACAGATCCTTTCCCTCCCCCGTTCTGTTTTCTGGACATTGTGAAAGAGCAGTGTTGGTGATGGAAAATACTGAAGCCGCCAGTCCTGCTTTTCACCAAGCCGCTGGAATAATGTTCATGTTATTGTGACTGAACTCATCAGTCGTGCCAGGCTCTATTTAAGGCTGCAGTTCTGCTCATGACAAACACATTTCTATTTTCCTGAACAGACAATCCTTCACACTGAATTTGGCAAAGGGTGCTAATGCGGCGCCCGCAATATGACAAACACACAGGCTACACTTACAGTGAAATCTCTTGTTTTAATGTCATATTCTTCATTTCTAAATAAAGCATGCCTACTGAAACCTTAAATCACAGATGAGTTTCCACTTTGAATGACAGCGATACGCTACCTATGCTGAAGGAGTCACTGGGTTTCTTATGAGAAACCAAACCTTTCATGAGCAGAGAAGGGAAAAACTGGACCACTAATAAGATGGAAAGCAAACTCACCTGACCGTGAGCTGTCGTTTGACGGCCAAACGCTCCTCACAGAAACCCTCCCCTCAAACATTAATACTGCATTCTGTCATCATTCATCCATGTGAGCCGCGAAAGGAGATGTTGTTAAAGCTCATCTGTGTCTGAGACCGTTCAGACTTACTGCACCCGATTGTGTGATGTTAAAGGAGAATTAAAATCTCCTGATAATTTACTCTCCCCACGCCAAGATGTTCATGTCTTTCGTTCTTCAGTCAAAAGGAAATTAAGGTTTTATGGAAAACATTCCAGGATTTTCTCCATATAGTGACTTCAATGGGGTCCAACGGGTCGAAGGTCCAGATGTGAGTTTCAGTGCAGCTTCAAAGTCTCGACACGATCCAGCCGAGGAATAAGAGTCTTATCTAGACAAACCAGCGGACATTTTATAACAAAATAAACTTTTATATACTTTTTAACAACAAAAGCTGGTCTTCCAAATTTCCTCAAAAACCTTAGTTTCGTTCGACTGAAGAAAGAAAGACATGAACATCTTGGATAACGTGGGGGAGAGTAAATTATCAGGGGAACTAATCCTCTAATCACGCCAATGCTTCTTATAATTGAATATGACACAGCAAATCTTTCATAGTGTTTCTGTTATTTTGGAAGTGTGTCATTGAATGTAAACTATATCAACAGAGGTGCAGCATCATCCAGTAAGTGCAGTGTGTGTGTCTCTGTGGTGTTTGTGACTCAGGGTCGGTCTCCTGCTCCGCTGCGATGAGTCCTCATGCCTGGATCTTGTGCGCTCTTCTCTGGGTCCTCACCGGTGAACGGAGCCAGGGCGCTTCTAGGGGGCCCGTCCCGAGCCGAAAGAGGAGGCTCGCAGAAGACGGGGAACCCAAAAAGTGCTCTTACACGTTCTTGGTCCCGGAGCAGAGGATCACAGGGCCGATCTGTGCCAGCCAGGGCCCTTCTCTGCACGATAAAGAGCGCGTGACGCAGACGGACGTGGCGGATGTCCGCGAGATCTTGACCAAGCAGAGGCGTGAAATGGACACGCTCCGGTTGATCGTGGACGTGGATGGAAACATGGTCAACGAAATGAAACTGTTGCGTAAAGAGTCACGCAACATGAACTCGCGCGTCACACAGCTGTACATGCAGCTGCTGCACGAGATCATCCGCAAGCGGGATAACTCCCTGGAGCTGGCGGCGCTGGAGGGCCGAGTCCTGAACAGCACGGCGGAGGCGCTGCGGGTGTCCGGCCTCTACCGGGAGCTGGAGCTGCGCTTCTCCACGCTGGCGGCGCTGGTCAACAACCAGTCTTTGCTGATCGCCGCTCTGGAGGAGCGATGCTTGCAGGTGTACGGGAATCACCCGCGGGAGCCGCCGCCTCCGCCGCTCCTGCAGGTCGTGCCGGAGAACATCCCTGTGTTCGTGCCCCGCCTCTCCAACGAGATCCAGAGGAGCCCCGGCGTGCCCGTCTCAGAGGACAGGCCAACACGTCAGGCCAACGCCAGTCTGGAGGGTAACACATCATTGATCAACTCATTACACACCAAAACACACGTCAGCCAACACACACTCGTCATTTCCATGACACCCATGACCAGACGCCACGACACATGATAAATGGTGTATTTTGTTTAATGTTAAAAGCATCTGATGTGAGTTTGAATATCATTTATAACCGTATAATGATACTCAAAATAAATGAAAGGAAACTAGAACATACAAACTGTGAACAAACAAGTGTAATCTATGATTGATTCAGTCACTCAGTATGTATTTTTAATTATGTTAAAATGGTGTAATATTTATAAATTTATTTATTTATCCATTTGGTTGTGAGTGCAGTGCGCTTGCAGAGAGACTCCGCCAACACTCTCTTCTGATTGGCTGTGATTTTGGATTGATTTGGTTGCCAGTGCAGTGCGCTTGGAGAAAGACTCCGCCCACACTCTTCTGATTGGCTGGGATTTAGATTAGATTTCGTTTAGACGTGTACAAAAAATTGAGATTAATCATAAATAGTAGGTCATGGCGCTGGCAATGTCAGTCTCATAGGATGTGGCGTGAAGCAGTGCGGGGCCAAGAGCAGTGGGATTAAACTTACCCACATTTAAGTGTTGATAAAAAAGAATGCATGAAGCTAGAATAAAACTTTTTTGGGGGGGGGCCATGAAACTTTTGTGAAAATGATTAAAAATGCTGGCAGTGACTGGCAAATAGTTTTTTTTAAATGCTGGTGAGAAAGAGTTAACTTCATTACAGTTTAATTCCCAGTGAGTGCATAAACCGATCAAATGAACACTTTGAATGCAATGCAAGTCGCTTTAGGTAAAAGAGTCTTATGAATGTAAGTCAAGCATATCAGAACTGTATTATTAAGATTGGTTTATACTCGCCGCGTGTCACAGTATCTGGTTTGTGTTTCCCCGGGTATCCACTAGAGGTCCTCTTTCCCTTATCGCACCTCAAGTTTGTGGAGAACCCGGTGCTAAATGACTCGTAGACGACCTGATTCTGGGTCGGGGTCCATTGAAAGGATGACACCGTGGGGAAGAGGACCTCTAGTGGATACCCGGGGAAACACAAACCAGACACTGTGACACCGCATCCGCACCAAGCGTGCCGCACAAGCCCTCAAAAGTGAAGCCAAAACGTCTCGATCGCCCCCCGGTGACCGGTCCTAGTATAGCTCATAAGCCCCGCCTCCCCATGTTATTCAACGGGACGTGAGACCAACAAAAATAATTAAATTACACTTCACATATCTTTTTTCTAAAGATAGTTTCTGTCATTTACTGTAGTTTCTATCACGTGGATGTGATTTCAAGTGTTTGTTTTTAAAATAAGTTAGTTTTTAGTTAATTATTTGATGCTATAAAAACGGTGCTGTGACATCATGATTGACAGCTGTGATTGACAGGTTCTCTGTGCGAAGTAGTAACTGTAGCATGGACTTTTTTTCATAATGTTGACTATGTGGTTAGTAGTTGTATTTACCTTATTTTAACGAGGTACTGCAATCAGCAGACATCATTGGAGAGGAACGGAGCAGACAAGGCCACTTAAGAAAAGTGCAGGGCGTGTGCTTGCGATTGATTCAACGAGCGCGAGGGCGGGGCCTTGATTTCGCGGCTTTACTTCCTGCGCATGACTGGTCCCGAAAACGCTACTGCGCAGACTCAAGTTCCAATATGTCAGCGCCAATACGGGACTCTGGCGGCTTCAGTTCTCTCCAATGGAAAAGAGCGAAGGGGCGTCGTCCATCTTTTTTTACAGTCTATGGTCCGCACAATCAAAAATGATGTCATAGCGGTGTGAGCGGTCGTGCGCGATACCCCTTTTCGCTTGACAGCATTTTTTTATTTTCTGCGCGGCTCCGCATCCGAAGATGCACGACTTTGAGCCGAATCTGGCCGAGCATATACATATCACCGCACCGGCACCCAGTTTGTGCGTCTAAATTAGTTGCAGACATATAGCATATTATAGCAGACATAAGCCCTTTAAATAAAAAAGGTCCATGTTTTATAAAAAAAAAATGCTCACGAAACTAAATGAAAATGTTTAGTGAGATTAGAAAATATGTATATCGTTAATTTAGTTGAATAGGCTACGTTCTCATATCCATTCAAATTTTGTTCTGATGTCACAAGTAATAATCCCAAGGTTTACTGCTTTACACAATTCTTTTGAAGTGTGGTTTTGGTGGTTTTACTGAAATAAACATTCAGGTGTGTACCTTAGTTCTTCTCACCGATGATTCCTGATGGTTTAGAGGACAATTAGCCCGAGTCGCCCCCTGTGGTTTCAAAGAATAGTACAGCGGCGAAGTAACCCTCCACGTGTGTTTGGGGAGGTGCGCAAGCAGGCAGCAGAGGCTTGCGCTGTGGAGCCAGGCGAATGTATAAACAAGGCTTTACTGCTCCTTCCTTCCTCATCAGCACTCATTAGTGTGTTCTGGTGTCCCGAGGTCCGTTCCGGGACTGTGTGCAGGTGATGCAGGCGGGACACACCACCAGCGGGGCGTACCTGCTGACGCCGGAGGGCTCGGAGACGCCGGTACAGGCCTGGTGTGAGCATGACGTGGACCGAGGCGGCTGGACCCTCATCCAGAGGAGGAAGGACGGGTCCGTCAACTTCTTCAGGAACTGGGACAGCTATAAGGTATAGTGACGGCCAATGCACCAATGAAATGCTGTGAAATGATTCTGTAACGGATGAATTATCCAGGAATAAAACTAGAGTTGGAGACCCCTCTGTGCTAACAACACTGGCAAATAATATTAAAGTGGTCATATTCTACTTTTTTTTATCTCTCTTTAGTGTGTAATGTTGCTGTTTGATCATGGAAAAGCTCCAGTTCTTCTCTATATGAGTGTCAGTGTTTCTGAACTCATGAAACGCCTCCATTGTAGTCTTGAGTTTCTTCCGGGAACGAACACGTCACAATATTCCTCATTATAATAACTCATATGCAGAATAAAGGGGCGGGGCCTGGTTGAGTTAGTTAGTAGTGTGTAAAACTGCCTGTTATAGTAAGGGGCGGGACATTTCCCAAACACACTCAAAGCGCTCGACCAATCACAACACACTGCTCCAGCTGCCCAATCAGAACACAGTGTGGTTTTTTGAAGGAGGGGCTCTTGTATAACAGTCTTTTGGGTATATTGGTAAAGCTGTGCAGAATATAATAATTGCTTGATCTGGATCACGTCTTTCTGAGCTGAGGCTGTTAGAGAATCACAGACGCTGCTGCTGAGTGTGTCTCTGAGAGGCGTACGCTACATTAGAGACAAACAGCTGGATCTGGTTCATGTCCGTTTGTTTTGATTGCGCTCGTGTGTCAGCGGTCCTTTCACCTCGAGCCCCACACACACACACACACACGCATTGAAGTCTCCTAAACCTCATCCTAACACAAATCCCAGTGTTGATGAGCTGCTTCGGGTGTGTTTGAGTTGTAACTGAACTCGTGCACTCGTTCACTCATGAAATAATAATACGCCGCAGTATGTGCTGAAATCAGCAGGCTAAAGTCTGGTGATATCTTAAACATCCTTCATCAGCTAAGCCCAGTTGTTCAAAGAAGCCTTTCCAGTGTTTCAAAGGCCAGTGTGACGGTAATGAAAACAGTGTTTTCAGCAGCTCTCTTTTCCTTTTCCTCCAGAAAGGCTTTGGAAACGTGGACGGCGAACACTGGCTGGGTCTGGAAAACATCTATAACCTGGGCAGGCAGGAGGACTACAAGCTGCTGGTGGAGCTGGAGGACTGGATGGGTAAAAAGGTTTACGCGGCATACAGCAGCTTCCACCTGGAGCCGGAGAGCCAGGCGTACCGTCTGCGTCTGGGCTCGTACCAGGGCAACGCTGGAGACTCCCTGACCAGCAACAACGGCAAGCCCTTCACCACGCTGGACCGCGACCACGACGTCTTCTCAGGTGCTTTCACACGCCACACGGCTAATGGTGTGTCAAACCCTGGCTCAATCAGATCCATCACACACACTACATCTGAACACCCAGGGTTGAGGATTGTGAAGTCTTGTGTTCCAGTACAAATACCTAAACGCTCTTAAATCAAGATGCTTTCCCTGTTAGCAGGGTGTGGCCTTCGCTTGTGCGTGTTCGTGAAGCCCATGAGGTGAAAGACTCGATGCATTTTATGACTCAAAGCAAGACTAAAGCTCCTTGCCCACTGAGTCCGAAATTTTGGTATATGTGTTTTTCGTATATGTGTTTTTCGTACATGTCATCTGAAAAATCTGGCCCGCACAGAAACCTTGCACGCTGAGTCCAATGCGTATTAAAGGGGTCATATAATGGTACATGCACTTTTACAAGTTGATTGTACTGAAATGTGTGTTGGCAGTGCCTGTACACAGCCATCATATAATGATAGAAATCCATCCAGTGTTTTTTTTAAAATCTCCTTATATGTTTTCCCTGTCTCAAATCGAGCCGTCTGACCGTGTGACGTCACTAAAACGGACGCCCCTCCCACGATTTACAGATAATTCGCTGTATTTAATACATCATGATGACGGGTTGGCGGGTGTTGATTTAAACCCTGGTCGTCTTGTCTTCCACAGGGAACTGTGCTAATTTCCACAAGGCCGGCTGGTGGTACAGCGCCTGCGGTCAGACCAATCTGAACGGCGTGTGGTATTCAGGAGGAGTGTATCGCAGCCGGTTTCAGGACGGCATCTTCTGGGCCGATTATGGAGGGGGTTTTTACTCCATGAAGTCTGTGCGGATGATGATCAGGCCCGTTGACTGACGCTCGAGCGGATCACCGATCTCACACGGGTCATACTTCATCTGGGTCCAGCGGGAAACACCATGGGAATCATTGATGAATTCATCTGTCCTTATGCCTCAGGTCTTAACCAGTCTGTATTAGTAATGTTTGGGGTTAACTTAAGATGAAAGATTGTCATCACCATTTTGTAATAAAATAAAAGAGATTTCTAACATCTGTGACGACTATTGTGAGCTTTCCACCCAGAAGAACAAGTAGGAAGACTTGGACTTCATGGGAACCTTTCATGTAAATGTTCTTATTGTACACCTAAATATATCCTGCTGCTTACAAAGTGTTCCCAGAAAACAGGGAACGTTCTCAGAAGGTCTTCTGAAAGTTATTATCAAACGCTCTTCCAGCAACATTAATAAAACATTCATTCAAAGTTATCTGGTTTTTAATAATGTTCTCAAAACGTTGTTGTTGGAACTTTTTTTCTGAAAATTTTTAATTGGATGTTCATCTAATGTTTTTTAAATGTAACTTGTTTCAGAGAACATTCAAAAGTGAAGTTTCCATAATGATTGAAGAATGATACAATGGAATATTCTCTTAAAGATCATGTGACCAAGAGAAAACATTTTTAAAACATTAATAAACTGGACGTTTTGAATGTTCAGAAATATTACCTCAAATGGGAACGTCAGCAAAATGTTCTTAAATCATAGAGTTGTAGGCATTAACAGATTATAACTCATGTGTTCCTCTCTCTGTCATGCTGTTCGTTCTGATCCAACACAGATTCTGGGAGCGTCAGACGTGTGCTTTAACACACATCAGGTGAAATAAAGCGTGGGTTTCTCCCATCCGGAGGAATCAGGGGGAGCAGAAGAACAGATCACGCTCGATGAGAAACATATAGCTGAGATCCAGGCGGCGCAGGGAAGAGTGTGTGAGAGGAACCGCTGGGAGGGAACCGGGCCACATATCTGTGGTTGTGTGTGTGTGTTTTCCTTCTGCTCCATCGGTCCAGCTCCTGGCTAAAGCACACGATCCCTGTGCAGCGCTTTACCACTTCATCAGTGCAACGCTAGTTCACTAACTCAGAGTCGGATCCATCTAGCCTGGGAAAACCCAGACAACTTCCGGCAAATTTAGATTTGCTCTGAAAGTTAGTCTGGCGAAGAGCTCATTCAAGCTCATTTCCAATCCGCCGAAAACGCGGCACCAATCAGAAGCGTTGGGGCGGGCTTTACACGATGACGACAGCGCTGGGGTTTTGAAGCAGATTTTGTAGCCTACATTACAGAGATGGATGCCGCCGTCGAACATCACTCGTTCCAATCAGCTATCGCGTCTGTTTTAAGCCATTTGAACGTTTCCTTTTAGTTAAAAACCGAGCAAAGAACAACACTCGGAGATGTTTCTCCGCCGCTCTGCATACGTCATCTCCTTCATCGCTCTGATTGGTTTAGGTCTATCCACCACGTCCGTTGGTGACGCCCCTCTGGAAATGATCTGTCTATGACGCTTTGCCAGACCATAACTCAGTTACAACTGAGAATGCTCTGGGTTTAACCAGGCTAGGATCCATCAACCGCAACCACCCAATAAAACACAAAAAGAGCTAACAGCGACTTTTTATCTCACAATTCACTTTTTTTCTCAGAATTGTGAAATAAAACCCTATAACATGAGGTTTTTACCATATTTTTCAAGCTTCCATACTTTGGAAATGCAGACAGTGCTGATAATGTTATTGCAAAAGCAACATGGCGTCTAAAAACCCGTCCAGTCCCTGTCATGTGACCCTCACTACCGTATTAGTGTCTGTACTGCTCAACCGCACACATGCACATGACGAGCATTGGGTTGGTTTCACTGCTGCCAAAATCATACGTTACAAAAGGCTTTTGATCAAAACGTGCCATTCTTTTCATTCTCTGGCCTTCAGAAATGCAAAGCAACTCTTGATAGCTTGTCAGGGAACCTGGGAAAATGAAAAGCCCAAAGGGATCCGGACCTGTGTTGTTCTCGGAGTAAGATACACTCCACCATCACATGAAGGAGAAGGAGTCACTCGTGCCATTATCTCAGAGAGAGATGACCTGCTGGTCTACTATCACACACAATGTGGGAAAACTACAGATACTATAAACAGACTTAAACTTGAGCATTTAAACAGCTTCTTCTCAAACTAACTATCAAATGAGAGCAATAACATGCACCACGAAAACTTCAACACGCCTTTATAGAGTGTTTATTGCAATATAAATGGTGGAGAGTAATCCCACAATAGGGTTTATAGGTTCAATTCTGTGTTTTTGTAAAACTGGAGCTCTGTGTGCTTGTGTGTCTGTGTGTTTTATTCCTGTCTGTCTGGTGTGAAAGAGCGGCTCCTGATCTTCTGCTCTGCTCCTTCAATGAGTGTCTGTGGGGGTTTTCTGCTGTTTCTCAGTTCCAGCAGGTGAGTGTGTGTGTGTGCGCATAGTGTGTATAGCGCAGTCAGATGTTCTTCACTACTGTACGTCTCAATGGTTCTCCTGTCTGCAGCACACGAGTGACGCTCACAGTCATATACACACACACACCTGAGAGCGTCCACGCAGAAGTGCAAACCTCAGATTAGCATAGCCGCATCGAGCCTCAGATTAGCATAGCCGCGTCGAGCCTCAGCACACAGTGCGACCCAGTGTTTCAGCCGAGCCGGGGCAGGAGCTTGAGCAGACGCTGGACTCTCCGGAGCTGATGCTGCGAGCAAGGTGACATCTTTGGCCCGTATGCAGAGACCACACACACACACACACACGCTTCTGAACGGGGCTGAAGAGAGCCTTTGTGTGTGTAAGAGCTGAGAGATGCTGTGGAAACACTCGTGGTCTCTCTGGAGTCTGTGAAAGATGTGTGTGTAATTCAACACACAGATGAGAAGATGATAACGAAGTCACACACTCCTGAACTGATCACACAGCGCTTTATATCTGATGGAAACAGTGTAGAGATCAGTCCAGTGCCGTTCGTCCTCTCAGTGTGATCATCACAGGAGGAGAGCCAATCACAGCTCTGCATGTGAAATGTCTCGGGTTACGTATGTAACCCTTGTTCCCTGAGAAAGGGAACGAGACACTGCGTCGGTGACGACACTAGGGGAACGCCCTTCAGCGTAGCGCGTCTGAATTCATGAATGAAATCGAATCGAATCCTATTGGCTTTGCGTGATGACGTAGCGAGTGACGGCATACGCGGATGTGTATAAGAGCACACTGGCACAAGCAAAGTCAGCTCTTTGCTATGAAGCAAGTGCTCCCGGCGGGGTGAGGCTTGGCGAACCGACGCAGTGTCTCGTTCCCTTTCTCAGGGAACAAGGGTTACATACGTAACCCGAGACGTTCCCTTTCGAGCAGTGCTCTGACAGGGCAGAGCAGATGAAGTCTCTCCTCATCCGCCGTCACATGAGGTGGAGGATGAAAAGCCTGCAGAACCATAGGCCGTGCCACATTAGATGGCACCTTGGGCAAATAGCCGGGCCTGGGATGTAAGATGGCCTTAATGTTGCCTGGAGCAAACTCCAGGCACCCATTAGATATAGAGAGCGCCTGGAGATCTCCGACCCTCCTCAGAGAAGTAATGGCCAACAAAAAGACCACCTTAAATGAAAGGTTCTTGGCCTCAGCCGACTCCAGTGGTTCGAAGGGGGCCTCGGCCAGCCCTTCGAGAACCACTGCCAGGTCCCAAGAGGGAACCCTGGTGCGAGTCGCAGGTCTCGTCCTCCAGGCTCCACCGAGGAAACGTACGACCAGGTGATGCCTCCCCAGGGGACCATCACTCAGAGGAGCATGGAAAGCCGCGATGGCAGCCACATAAACCTTGAGTGTGGATGGGGTAAGCCCGGCAGAAAAGCGGTCTTGGAGAAACTCCACCACTGAAGCCACTGGGCAGTGAACTGGGTCCAATTCACGCTCTCTGCACCAAATGGAAAAAACATTCCACTTAAGGCCGTATAACTTCCTCGTGGAGGGAGCTCTGCAAGTGAGTATAGTTTCAACCACTTCTGCTGACAGGCCGGCTTCTATGTACTGCGCCCCCTCAGGGGCCAGACCCACAGTTTCCACAGCTCGGGCCGAGGGTGGAGAACTGAGCCCCCCGCCTGAGACAACAGGTCCCTCCTCGGAGGGATCTGCCACAGCGGGCCTGCCAGAAGCAGGATAATGTCCGAAAACCATACTCGGGCCGGCCAAAACGGGGCTACTAATAGTAGGCTGACACCGTCCTGACGGACCCTCTTCAGAACCACCGGGAGCAGAGCGATCGGGGGAAAGGCATACAGACGCAGCCTCGGCCACGTCTGCACGATGGCATCCAACCCCAGCGGGGCTGGATGTGTGAGGGAGAACCACAGTGGACAGTATGTCGTCTCTCGAGACGCAAATAGGTCCACTTCCACTGGGCACCGCGACCACCCTCTCAGCCAGCATGGCCGGGCTTTGCAGCAGCCGCTGCTGCGATGAGGAAGACAGATGGGAGCTAGGAATGTGGGACCGGCTCCCAGCGGACAACAATCTGGCCATCGTCCGAGATCTGATGGCTCCGGACCATGGGGAAGCATTCATTTGCGGCCGCGGCGGCGAGAAACCGCACACCCCACCCCGAGGAACGGAAGCAGGGCCGGCTCTAGCCCTTTGGTTGCCCTAGGCGAGATTGAGTTTTGCGCCCCCTCCCCCCCACCCAGTTGCATTGTACAAATACATTTTATCTGACCATGTAACTTGTAGTAGATAAATTACAATTTCTACCACCAGTACTATTATTACTAATCTAATGGGCTGCTACAAAGCTTAGGGGGGTTAAGAATTTTTTTTGCATTTTAATGTTAAATTCATCAATCTGGTGCACTTTGAGAGTTCAAAATTAAAAGCTCCAACCCATATTCAGTGTGCAAATTTAACAAAGAAAAATGCAAACCTCTTGCAGATTGCGCTCCTCACAATCGAGCATGCTGGTTGTTCCTAAAACTCGCTTAAAGTCTTTGGCTGACAGGGCTTTTTCCTTCT